TGATTCTCACAATTATGTCTATCGTCAATTTTATTCTATCTGAAAATATGATTCTCATAATTGTGTCTATCATCAATTTGTTCCTTTATAAATTATGATTCTCACAATTATGTCTATCGTCAATTTTATTCTATCTGAAAATATGATTCTCATAATTATGTCTATCATCAATTTCATTCTATCTGAAAATATGATCTCAAAATTATGTCTATCATCAATTTCATTCTATCTGAAAATATCATTCTCTTAATTATGTCTCATCAATTATATCTGAAAATATGATTCTCATAATTGTGTATATCATTAATTCCATTCCATCAGAACTTATGATTCTCATAATTGTGTCTATCATCAATTTGTTCCTTTATAAATTATGATTCTCACAATTATGTCTATCATTAATTTTAAAACACAAAATTATGATTCTCTAATTCTAGCATAACTAGTTTAAAAAAAACGTACTTTTTATTTCACAATTATATATTAGTATATTACACTAAAATTATTCTTTTAAAAACATCTTGAATTCTCCAACTTTTTTTTTATCAAAAAAAAGTCTCTTTTTTTTAAGTATTTCATATCCATTTAAAAAAATGCACGATATTTTCTTTTATCTAAAACCGATTAAAACAATTTAAAATAAATCTTATCATTTATTTTTTAGTATTTCTCTATCTTTTTACTATTATTATAATAACGTTGCTTAATTGAATCTTATTTGATTCAAAAAATAAAAATCCGATCTCTAATTGAGCTCTATTGCGGCATAAATTTTCTAATGACGAAAGCCATTTCTCTTTATGAAGATTTTTGGTTAATCTACAACCTAATATTATACTACATTCACATATCCTTGAGGCTGTTTTATCTCTCGCAGCCCTTAAAATAAAAGTTAAACTTAAATCTTCAATAAGAATTTAATTACAACATAAACTATTTTCTAAATAAATTTATATTCTAATCTTATTCGCTGAATTTTTAAATTATTATATCTTAGCAAACTATTAGTTTAATTTTAATCTTCGCAATTTATGTTTCTTTTTCTTTGTCATTGTTATTTTTAGTGATCAATTTATAATAATTTTAAAATCTAAAATATCATAGTCTCTATTAGTTTCAAAATTCAAATGGTTTTTACTTTACCAGTAACTTCTAAATATAAAATTCCTAATTATCACCTTTAAATAACTAAACACAAACTTCTTTATATCTTATCTACTATGAATGCTACCTTTATAATTCTTTGTTTTTAATTTTAGATTTTTTTTATCCAATTTTTATTTTAAAATAGAAATAGAATATTTTTCCTAATTTTATTTACATATTTTTCTTACGTTCTTATGGAATTTTTTTTTGTATTAGAATACAATTTGTCACGTTCTTGTCCCACCGTATGTATTGATTTGCATTAGACTGAAAAGTTGTAATTGCCCTGTCGCCTCCTCTCTCCAACACCATTGTCACAATCAGAAGTTTTTGGGTTGTGAACTTAAGAACCTAAATATAAATAAAATTAATATAAGAAAAATAAAAGTAAAATTAAAAAATTAAAGAGTAAAAAATTAAATCTAAGTTAAACAAAAAATAATGATTTTCGCATCATAATTTCTCCTTTATATATCCTTTTTCTTTAATCAACATTTACATTGTCTCAATTTGCATCGAGATTTATTTCTTTTTTCTTGAGTAGATTTGAATATCTTTCGGCATCGTAATTTTGTTTAAAAGTGTAATTTGCATATCTTTCGTTTTTCTTAATCTAGTAAATTTGAATATTACCACAATTACAACATAAATTATAATCATTTATTTAAAATAAACCGAAAAAATATCGAAAAATAGAATATTTATATTTACACCGAATAAAAATATTCTATATTGACATATTCATTTTGCTTTTAACAACAAATTGATTTAAAATTTTTTATCTAGGAGACGCGCTCGTTTCTCTCCAAAAATGAGCTTCCCTAGACTGAATACACGCTCTACGGGAGCACTTGATGTAAGGACAACATTTTATTTAATAAAGAATATTTTAAATTTGGGAAATCGTCAAATAAAGATAATGAGTCTTTGGCATGTTGAATCAGATTCAGAATTCATATTGTATTCTGTTTCTATCTAGGAAATAAAATAACACTTATTTAGATTAGGAATATAATCTATTAACAAACATTCAGTTCTAAAATGGGTCTAATTTATATAAAATTTAATTATAAATAAAAATTCAGGCTAGGCCAAAAAATAAATTACAGGTTGGGCTAAATCTTTGGAATTCAAGGTAAGACTGAAAAAAAATTGAATTTGCAGGTCTCCTTGACAAAAAAGTTTTGGTTCTTAAATTTGAAAAAGTTGTTCTTGGTTCTTAAATCTAATATGTTTCCAAGTTCCAAACTCTATAAAAGCAATCCTTTTTAAAATTTGAGCAATGTGCTCATACTTTTGTTAAACCTGGTTCTTATATTAATTTTAAAATAGTCCATTAATTCTAAAAATGGCTTTCAGGTTATGATTTATTATTATTATGAATTTATTGGCAATATATATTTTTTTATGTTATTAGGATTTAATAATTATAATCAATTATTTGAAAAAATATACAATTTATTTATAAAATAAGGATATAATAATTATAATCAATTATTTGAAAAAAATATACATAAAAAATTAATTAAACCGAAAAAAATATCGGAAAATAAAATATATTTATAAGATACCTGCAGGCTAGGTCCTAAGTCCGGTCCGGATACATAGGCCGGGACATATTTTAATTTTTTTTAAATATACTCATGCTGGGCCTGAATTTTAATTTGGTTACCAGCAATGTAACAATTTAAGAAAAGAAAATCTATTTGGACTGGAAATTATTTTATTATTGCATATCCTTTGTGAACACAATCAGATAAACAAAATTTTAAATTAATAAATTTTAAAAGAAAAATTATTTTAAAAGAAAAATTATTTTAAAATTAATTTATCATCCTTGAATCGGACTGCCCACCTGAAAATTTTATTGTTGTGGACAAAACTAGCTTTACCCACCTAGGTTCACCCATTGGAGGTGAAAGTGCTATATTTCATTTCAGAGATGAATTTCTTGTCAAATTTAATAGAATGAAAAATATTTTACCAGCTCATCAGGTTTTTTATTTATTTAAATATTTTTTTTTCATTTACATGCCTCGTTCATCCACAATTTTAATGTCCCTTGAAATATTGTTAGACCTTGAGGTTCAAAAAATACTCTCGAATCTATTTTAAATAAGTATGCAAGCTACCCTTCCAACAAAGCTAGGTGGTACAGGTATCCTTTCTCCCATATCCTTAAGCATTTCAGCCTTTTTATCCTCAGTTGCTAAATTTCCATGCACACTTGGAGACATGAATACTATCGAATCCACATCATATGGCAGCATTAAACCTCTGGAGCAAAAATTCTTCAAGCCGCTCATATCCAAATTTAAGACAAAGAGACTGAAATTTAGCATTTATACAGCATTGCGTTGAATACTTTTTAAAAAAATCTCCATCGCTCTTTCTCCCCTTAAACCCAACCCCGAATATACAGAATGACAACAATAGTCTTTTGCTGGATATGCCACCTTGGCAACAAATAGTTAGAAACTAAACATAGTTCTAATTTAGGCTTGTTTATTAATCAACGAAAAACTTAGAATAGCTATAGGTCTTCGTTTTGTGAAATTATAACGCCGACATCATGTGTCTGTGAAACTCATAACGATAGCCTTAGAAACCCCCCCCCCCCCCCATATGTCGTTTTTCAAAAGGCAAATTATTCAGGCACAGTGCCATCAATTTGATCATCATTAGAATCTGGAAATTCGTAAATATTCCTTCTACATTGGAACCCTTTGGCTTCAGCTCTGTTGGAATGACGCTAGTCCCTTGGAACCAAGGTATACCCCTCGCTTGGAATTATACATGTGTAGATCGTTTGCCAGATCTTTTTATTTCAACTCTATTGAAAGCTGAAAATACAAAAACAAATAAATATATTCACCTTAATAATCTTTTGTTTGTTCCGGTAGTCTAGAACACCTGTGGATCATTAGGACCCCAAGCCCTAAAATTATTCAAACAATAGGGCAAAGGTTATGTTTAATCAAGGTGATCCAAAAATAGGCTTATACCTACGACAAAGAATATTAATCAAAATATGTCGATCCAAATGTATATCTATACATGGATCATTAAGCCCCTCCGACCAAACCTAAATACATTATTTTATTTTATTTCTCTTCTTTTAATTATATATTTTTACACAGAATATATTATAATTTTATCAAATAGTTATATTAAAAAACTTATTAAAAATAAAATTAATTACTGGAATATATTATTTAGATTTATGCATATATATTTTTAAAAGTAACTAGTTAATTATGGCAGTTACATTTTAAAAAATATAACTAGTTACAATTAAAATATAATTAGTTACAGTTTTTTTTTAGTAAAATGTATTGTAACTAGCAGAGTTGTACATTTGCTCAAAATAAAAAGATCTTCAAAGATCTAGATCCTTGAAGATCGTAAAATTTGAAGATCTTTTATTTTTTAAAAATTTTGTGTAACGATCTTCAAAGATCTTCATGATATTTATTTTTTTACCCCTTTATTAAAAGCCCAGATGTTTTTCAATTTTATTAATATAATATTTCTTTTATGTTTTATACCTCTCCTCCTGCCTTGATGAAAATTGAAAAACATCTGGGCTTTTAATAAAGGGGTAAAAAAATAAATATCATGAAGATCTTTGAGGATCGTTGAGATCGTTACACAAAATTTTTAAAAAATAAAAGATCTTCAAATTTTACGACCTTCAAAGATCTTGCTCAAATTTTTGAGCTAGATCTCGCTCAAAAATCTTCAAAGAAGATCTTTTGTACAACTCTGGTAACTAGTTACTTTAACAATAACAACACTAAAATTATCATATGTTATGACGACGTGCATTATCATTAGCTTACACTTATGTCTGAGCTTAAAAATTTTAAATCTGAATATGTAGACGAAGTTGAAGCTATTGAAAATGAAATTGATCTTGAAGATCGTAGATTAAAGTCAAAGTTATCTATATTCAACGATAGATTTTTTCCAATTATGGAGAAGAACAAAACCCAAATTAAAGCTAAGTGCACTTCATGTCAACAAATTTTAAGTGGGCATGAAGAGATTTCATCTAATTTTTTGAAACATATGAAGGTGGGATTTTTTTTATTTAATCAAATCAATTTTATAATTTAGAGAAAACATCCAGCAATGATGTTAGATTATAACCAATTTAAAATAACAAAACGAACAGATACAAATACATCAAAATCTCAACTGACTAAATTAAAAACATTGCAACCCATTAAAAATATCCTTACACAAAAAATTGCAGATGATCTTATTAGCAATTTTATTATTAAAAGTATGCTTCCCATGGACACTGTAGAAACAAAGGAATTCAAAGATTTAATTCATGGTAAAAAAATTACACTATATACATTCATTTCTTACAAAAGTATATATATGAATTGTACTTTAATCTAAGACATTTTTGTATCCTTGTTTTGACCAGAAATAGGTTCTATTTCTGGTTTTGATGTCTTATAATTTATTAATAAACAAATACACATAAGCATTGATATATTCTCCAAAAATAATCATTTATCAGGGATGGTTTTAATTAAAATAGTTAATTCTTATAAATTTTAGAGCATTTAACTGGTCAAATATGATTTGGTTAATTGACCAATATTTGACTCATCATATTCAAATAAATGTTTATTAAGACATTATTAACCTTTTTTTCTATATAATAGTAAAATGAATCTATAATATTTTATTTTTTGAAATCTATTGACATTTAATAACTATTTTTTCACTCTCCATGCATTGTCTTGTTCTGATTTCTATTTAATATTATCATTTTATTTAATATCTTTTAATTTTTTCTGCTGTTGAGATCTAACGATTTCTGTTTTAGTAAGAATATAAACCCAAAAGATAAATTTATTTCTGAAGAACAAGTAGAAATAGGAATTGTTAGTAAAATGCCACTTCTATTAATGGGATGGGAGCGAAGCCCATTCCACTATCAGGCCAGAATCTGTTTCTTTCTTATGGAATTTATAGCTTTCCATCTAATTTTCTATTAAACATGCCACATTATTTATATTACTTGAAATATTTGATCACACCACTTTGTAACGTCTATTTCTTGTATTATATCACATTCTTCATTAAATTAACTACTGGTAAGATGCTCCACTTGATATTGTTGACCCAATAAATAAGCGACATTATGATCACATGTATTTATATCATTTTTCTTTTTTTCTTCAAATTTTTTAGTATTTAACTATATTATACCAGGTCAAATATTCCTCTGATTTGACCAGTCAATTGGTTGAATTTGATGGATCAATTGACTGACTTGCCAACCTTGATTACATGGAATCCCTGTTATTATATAATTACATGCAATTTTTATTTTAATTATTAAAAAATGTATTTTATATGAATCATATAAAATAAAATGAATCTTTATTAATTGCTTATATATATAAGGTAATTTATGGGCATTGCCTAAACTGGTCAGAAAATTAAAAAAAAGTTTTTTGGCCTGGCCTAGAGTTGTTAAAAAGCAAAAAAACTTAATTAAGGTTTTAGCCAAATATGTAAGGTTATAGATTTGGCAAGAGGTTGAATCCTTTCTGCAATCTCCAGGCTTACATAATATTGTTTTGGCTAAAATCTTAATCAGGGTTTATAAATTTACCAGATTTTTTAACACCCCTAGTATGGCCCGTAAATTTTTTTCCCCAATCTGTAAAATAATTTTATACAAGTTATCCAATCTTTTATATGCTCATTTTTTTCTGATGTAAAAGAACATAAAATAATTTGTGAACATCTGGCATGACCCATAAAAATATTTTGAAATAGTTGTTCATCCAATAATTCTTTAAATCAGGCTTTGGTGACTTTCTAATTTGGGCTTCAGAGACCAAGATTTTTGCTAAACTTAGACAGTTCTCCAATTTATAATGACTTTTTTAAAAAAAATATTTTACCATCTGTTTTATTCTTAGTTCAGCAATAAGTGAGATTATGATTAACCATTTTCAAATGATTTTTTTAATTCATTAAAATCATAGTAAAGTAAAATTATCTATGTATATTTAAACTTGTACAAACTAAGAATATACATATAAAATTATTATAAAATGATTGTATACAATATTGATACCATATGTTCTGACTATTTTAAAAAATTTGAAAGTATATTTATTGATCTTTTTATTTCAATATTTTTTGGTTTCTTTTTCTCTTATTTGATAAATTTTCCTCTTCAGGTTTTACAATGTCTTCTGGATTTACGAATATTGTGAACTACCCCTTTTAGAAATAGTAAATAGTTTAGTACATTTTCTTTGAACACAAATGATTTAAAAATATAATAACCTGAATTTTTTAAAATTAAAGATAATTCTATATTGTTTTATTTATTAATTTTGTTATTTGACATGTGATAAAATTTCCAATTTATAGAGTTATTGTTTGAATTGACAAAATATTAAAAATCTACCCACTTTAAAAGTGGACAGGTATCAAGTTATTTTCTAATAGTAGTTATTAAGAATTTGATTCTGATTTAAAAATTTGGTAAATTAGGGAGTTGCCGAAATTATCAAGAGCCCAATGACAGGCTTTATTGTATATGAATTTATTCATTTAACCTTCGAATACTTAAAATTTATAAATCTGACAAGTCCATTAAATATAATTCTTGAATTGTGATATTTGTGCAAATAGCATGAATTTATTATGTAAGAAAAAAAACATTTTATGAAAAAATTAAATCGAGTTTAAAAAATTAATTTTTTCAAAATTAACTTGATAAAACGTAACAAAAAGTTTGACATTTTCTTCTTTTTTAAGAGCTGTGTTATCAAATTGTGATTTTAAAATAAATTATAACCTAATTACATGCTTTAATATTAGTTAATTAAATAAATACAATTCACCAAAATATTTTAGAGTATTTGACCTAATAATTAAAAATCAGAATAATAAAATAATTGCATCATAAAATTTAATATATAATCAATAATCATACTCCGAAAACCCTTTCTAGCAAATTTTATGTAAATATTCATAAAAATTTGGTTAGAAAAATTCCCATTTTAAAACCCCCTATGAAAGAAAATATCCAATTTGATGAAAGACTTGTTCTTAGATATAATATGTCAGAGACCTGCACTATTTGCACAGCCCGGCCTCTATTTTTTTTAAATATATAGTTATTTTTAATTTTAAAAGCTAGTAATGGCGATTTAAAATATTTTGTTTTAAAATATACAGGTCGGCAGGATTTAAAAAAGAAATTTAAAAAAAAATTAAAATACGGCCTGGCTCGTTTATCCTGAATTAGGATCGGGCCTGGATGTCACTATTATATATTGAACGATATTCAGATTATGTCGTTCTCAACTATGACAACTGACAATTTTGAGCTCGACAATGATAATTATTGCAAAATAATATATAATAATATTTTTTATATAATAAAGATGTTTTCTGATAATTCTGGAGATAAAGATTGAGAATATATTGTTAATTTTTAATGTTATAACCAGATTGTGAAACGCTATAGCCTGTACTCTTTTTTGGTAGCGATAGTTATTCGCTACTTTTAAAAAAATCGTTATAAGCACGCTTTTTTTTTAGAGCTACTCTCAAATTGTTATATAATAATTTACTATTAAAAAAAACGAAAAACATAAATTTTGCTTGGAATTGGGTTATAGTACAATTCTTAAATTTGAAAAATTATCATGTTGTCAGAGAAATCTTTTACATTTGGATATATTTAATCAGTTTCAGATTATTAATGATTTTAAGTTATTTTTTTTAACTGCTAATTCAACACATCTAAGTATAAAATGTGAGTAAATTTTGGCATAATAAAGTTAAGTTTGCTTTGCAATCAAACTCTTAAAAATCGGATAATCATTCTAAAATTCCGATAATTATAACCTTTAAAATAGGTGTGCAAAGACGTAGGGAAGAATTTTATAGTTCTAATTCAGATAAAGGTTCATTTAAGTACAAAATAATATTATAACAAACTACTCGATAATAACACCCAGCAATTTATCCAAGGCAATTGCTATAAAATTTTTTGAGTCAACCTTTTAAAATAAAGTTAAATTTAGCCATATGCCAAATTATATATATGAAGTCTTCATACATTGAATTTGACTTTGCAAAGCAAGGCCCAGATGATAATTTGTAAAATATCTTTTAGCTTATTTCGAAAAATGAGCCATCTAAAAAAAAATTAATTATAATTGTAATTAAGATAATTACATGCTCGAAAGATATAAATAATTATAATTAGTAATTACAATTAATTACAGATACTAATTTTTTGAAAAGAATGGTAATAAATAATTACACATGTAATTAATTTTTATCCAATCTTTTACCTGTTTTATAGAGTTGAAATATTAATTCATAATAAAGAGTAATTTAAAATTATTAGTGTATTTTTTTATCTGCCAGATCTTTATTTTTTAATTTAAAAAAAATATGTACACGCCATTTGAAACATAACATATATTAAAATCATCTAAAAAACATATGGAACAAGCCGCCATGGATATGCGAGAAAACTTAGATAGTTTCTTCGGAACACATCTATTTTATTAAATCAAATTATTATTTGTTTATCAATTTATTCAAATAATTTATAATTATGCCTTTGCCGTTTCGGAGTTTTTAATGTTGCTCCAAAACTGAATAACCTTTTAATTGGTAAAGTTATATTGTAGTATTTTTTTTTTTAAATTTCCTTAATGGAAAAATAATAATTAAGTGTTTCTAACGTACTTCTACGTTTAGGATAATTTACAACCTCCAATTATTAAACTCATAAATATTTATTTTGCTAAAAGAAGAATAATCACTATTTTTTTAGTTATTGGATGTAAAATCTAATAGTTTGTGGTTTGATTATGTACTATTAAATTTAAGGCTTATTTTGAAAATATATTTTGAACATATTTTTTTAATCATCTGACTCAATTCATAAGTTCTTGAAGTATATGTACATGATAATGATGCCAAAAATACCTCATTATATTTATCATCAGAGGGAAAAAAATTTCTAAATCTTGAGGATACCGGACAACATATAATATAGGTAGACTATATTATAGATTTGAATTTTCAAGTTTACATAAGTCCCTCGTAAACACAAATAGCATGGGAACTAATTCTCCATAAAATATACTACTTTGCTTGTAATTTATATATGGCAATTACTATAGTGCCTAAAATTTTTCAGTACACTCAATATAAGCAATGTCAATATCTTAAAGTTATAATATTTTCAAATAACAAATTTAAGATTTATATTTGAGCAACAAAGTCATGCTATCGTATAAACTATTCCATGCATGGAATTTCTTTTCATTTTTTTTGAAGATTTGGGTCTCCCATACGCATTTCATAGTTTTGTACATTTTTCCATAACTATAATATATCATTTTAATCAAAAGGCCTATATTCTGTAGCAATTAAGGAAAGTGTGGCAAGCACATCTGATGTGCCTGAGCTCTAATATATTGTTTATTTCATTTAAAAATAAACAATTAAAAAACTAGAAAAAAAATTATACAAACTATTAATTTGACTAAATTCTAATAGTACATTCTCATTGTCGAGATTATTATATTTACGCTATATTCAGTAAATGACTCAACGAAATTTAAGGCTTTATTTATAACTGTAGCAATTAGCTAATCTAAATCCTGAACTCAAAAAACGTATTCAAGTACCTTTATTATTTTATCATAAGAATATATTCCAAGCAGTCCCATAAATGTGAACCCTTTATTGGTTTTTACTTGTCTAATTTTTTAAGATTTAGATTTAATTCAGGGGAGTTTCTTTCCATAATTTAAGTTTAATTACCTCCCTTTTTACTACTATGAGTGTTAATCATTTTACAAATTAAAAAATATTATTTAATGGTGATATTTCAATTCAGTTAGATTAATATATAAAATGTATGCTTTTACTTGTTTTGCTTATATTTTTAAATATGATAATAGGAAAGAAAGAACATTGAAATTAAAACAAGCTTACTAGAAAAATAATGATTATATAGGATTATTAAATTTTTTAAACAAAAATATAAAAAAAGTATCAGTATCTTTTGTCTAAAAAATAAAAAAATGCAAGTTTCTTAGATATAGATACATGTATCTTAACAAAAATGTCAAAATGATATTGACTACAATATATAAGCAAATATTCGCGCTACTGCCCAACTCTGCTAATAACAAACCTAAATTAGGTTACATTGAAAATACAAAATATCAACTCAATGTAAAAAAAATACTATAACGGTTGGAAAGCACAATAGGCATCCATTGCGGCGGCCGAATCATCTACACAACAAATATTCATAATTATATAACTTATTTTCTTACCCTTCTTTACTACCACATTAGGGAACTTCGGCGAAGAATCATCCTCTTTTTAAAAATTTAGGTAAAAAGCTACCATCATTCACTCGAGCCAAAGATAATTTATACCTTAGACAACGAATATCTCGAAATATGCAGATCATATTTTATCTCCATCCTTAGCTCTATACCAGAAAATATTTACAATATATCTTTTTAATCCCCCCCCCCCCACCACTGTTTTTTTAAATATTTTAGTCAGAGACATATTGAAGTACCAATTGCACAAAGGGTTGGGGAAGGAAGCACTATTATATGGTTTTTTCCTGATGAATTTATTGGTCCTTAGTTCCACTTATTACAGGCCTTTGAGTGTTACATTTTTTAAGAAATAATTATTTTTGTTTTTTCCTGAAAATTTTGAATTATGTCCATTATTTAAAAAATTAATAACTTTTATTTATTTTCCTATCTTTTATAGGCGAAAATTTTTTATTAGCTTAAAATGGTCTTTACTAAATTTTCGAAAGGGAAGTGGAATGTCCTCTTGGCCCCCTATTCCATGTCATTTGGCATATATAAAAATGTATTAAAGAGGGTTACATTAAGACTGTATGTCGATCTGTTTTACATAGTACAATCTAAAAACAGATAAGTTCTAAAGAAGTAAGGATCCAGGAGGTGGCCATCGAGCTATAAATCATATGATCTTAAAATTCCCTCAATGGTAAAAAAAAGTGAAAAATTAGAGAATAGGAAAAACCAAGTTATAAAACATGCTGATCGAGTTATATAGGACATATCAAATGAAGAAGATATTATTAAATGATGTTTATTTTTCAGTCCATCTATTTGTCCTTTGTTAATACATAATTAAATGTTAGTAAAACTAAAATCACGAAACTTCATGTATTAAAATTACATTAGCAAAAATTGTATTATTATATATGAGTCAAATCTCTATATTTTTCAAACATAAATACAAAGTGCAAAAGAATAAATAATATTATTATGTAAAAGCAATTACTAATTCTCATTATTTTTTACGATTTAAATCCTACTCTATTTTTTTACGAAAGATTAAAAGAATTATAATTACTTTATAAAATCATGATTACATATAATTTTAATTAGTAACTAATTGCCTTTTTATAGAAAAGGAATTTGTAATAAATAATTAATTACAAATTTTTATTAGGAATTAATTACATTTCAAAAAAATATTTCTTCTCTTTCGATTATAAATAATATATTATTTTTATGCTCTATCCTATGTGTAGATTCTTTTTTTGTAATACTAATTAAAAATTAAATTTTAAACTTGAATACATTTGCGAGCGTATATAAAGTGAAGACCTTTCGATAGTCAAATCTCTATATTTTTCAAACATAAATACAAAGTGCAAAAGAATAAATAATATTATTATGTAAAAGCAATTACTAATTCTCATTATTTTTTACGATTTAAATCCTACTCTATTTTTTTACGAAAGATTAAAAGAATTATAATTACTTTATAAAATCATGATTACATATAATTTTAATTAGTAACTAATTGCCTTTTTATAGAAAAGGAATTTGTAATAAATAACTAATTACAAATTTTTATTAGGAATTAATTACATTTCAAAAAAAAAATTTCTTCTCTTTCGATTATAAATATATTATTTTTATGCTCTATCCTATGTGTAGATTCTTTTTTGTAATACTAATTAAAAATTAATATTTTAAACCTGAATACATTTGTGAGCGAGTATAAAGTGAATACCTTTCTATATAATATTAGACTTCTATTTTTTATAATAAAATTAGGGGTAGAAATCAAAAAAAGAATTATTTAAAGTGCACATTTGTCTGATATTTTTGCATTTGAATGTTTTTTTTTATTTAGAATTGTTTCCCATTCTTCGCTGAAAGTTTATTATAAAATTATTATGTATAATACGTGTCAAGTTTCAAGTGTTGTAGCTAGTGTTGTTTAACGGCTCGATTTGAATTGATTTTTAAAAACGACTAACTTAATATTAATCAGCTCAAAACGAGCCGTTTAACAACACTAAGTTGTGGCAATATATTTATTGGCTATTTATCTTAGCAATAAGCAATAATTAAGAAATAAAAATATCAAATACAAAACATTTTTAATTTAATTTGTATTATGATTGATGCTAAGGTTTATCAAATGGTACGGTTGAAGTGATGTCTAAGGTAACTCTTGCCAGAAGAATAGATGCGTTATTTTCCAGAACGATAGAGGAATATCAATCAAATATTTGATTAATAATGTAAACCATGTATTATATATTTTATTTATACTATTTAATAAATCTTCTATTATTTATATTGTCATAAAAGTTATTTTTAAAACATTATTTTAACCTTTGAATTGCATATTTATAAAAGGTAGTTGTAATTCGTTAATTAATTACTCAAAAAAGTAATTTATTATCTTGCAATTCTAATGATCAATTAGTATAAAATACTCTATATTTTGATTTATATATATCTTGGCTGAATTGCCTCATAATCATACCTTATATTTTGGATTAAATGAATTTAAGAAAATTAGTGTCGTTACTGATGAAAAAAAATATACATTATACCATCTAATTTATTTATGTAGTCTATAGTAGACAACATTATAGTCAGTTAATATATTTTTAAGGCATGATCAAATTGGAATTTTTTAAATAGCTAATCTCATATTCAGAATGCATTATCTGCAGAATATAAAAAAATATATATTATTAGCTAAGCAATATAACTGATATGTAAGCAATGATTCGATATTAATAAATAATGAAATACAAAAATTACCATATTCATGGACAGTTCATAAATGGCTTTAAAAATAAGTATTAATTTAAAATTTTATAAAGACATGACACTTAAAAAAATTACATCAAACAATGAAATTAATTAAAAATTTAACTTTGGTAAAATTATAAATTATTATTTTTTGTTCCATAAGATTCAAATCCAAAATAATTTACAATAAAATTTAAAAAATATGTAAAGATCTCGTAGATCACAAAATAGTACCGTTTTTAAAAAATTAATTTATTCGGTATTGCAAATAGATTAGTTGTCAATATATAATATTTAGATAGCACCATTTTTAAAGACACTGGAATGGCATGTAGTCCTAGTAAGATAAAAAAAAATTGGTTAGGTTAGGTTTTTATGTGATTTATAATTTCTTACGCTTTTGAAATAAAATTGAGTGTTCATGAATTTTTTTATAAATTAAAATTTTATACGCTAAAAAAACATAGAATGTGCAGAGAAATAAATTGGTATATGCATTTATAATTAAGAACCTATACACTAATTCATCGTATTTCAGTATATTCATAATTAGAGTTAATCCATTCTAATTTTCTTGTACAGTGATTAGTACTTCTTTTTTGGGTACTACCGTTAATTCTTCCTTTGCTATAGCTAGGAACTATCACGTTTCTAGTTGCATCTATTCATCAAGGATTTTGACTCTGGGGATTCTTTCTCTTTTAAATTAATTTTTGTAGAATATATTAAAAGATAGCATAATATATAAAAGTATATTAAAATAATGTGTTAAAAATTTGAAACAAGGCAAATATAAAAACTCACAGCAGAAAGCCCGTCAAGAATTACTGGGTATGAGAATTTTATCCCTAATTTTATGATGGTTGAATCCGAATATCCTTATTTGATGATGGATAAATCAGAAAAATAAAGGGGAAATTTCTGATTTATCCATCATCAAATAAGGGAGTAAAAATTCCATCATTAACATCAGAACTCACCTTAGCCAAAATTGCTTATCGCTCGCCAGCGTATGAAGGTGGGAGATGAATTTTAGGGGCAAAAGAAAAAAAGACAAGATATTAAATATAAGAAAATACAATAATTGTTTATACTTTAAAACTTGATGAATATAGAGTTTCAACAAATATGTATTTGTAGCTATATAAAAAGAGAAAATAATATAATAAAATTTCTAATATCAAAAATTTTACCTGTTTAAAATATTTTTAAAATTATAGCGCCCCATGTTGCCTTTTATTTGATGATGTCTTTTCTTTGCCAAATATATCATCAGAAATTTTAATAAGGGTAATAATTGAAAGTATTAAATATACTGTTACAGATGATGAAGATTTATTTAATCAGGATGATATTATCTTTTCTTTGCCAAAGTATGTCATATGTAAAGTTTTAATGAGGGTAAAAATTGAAAGCATAAAATATAATTTATTTTATGGATGATGATGTTGCCTTTTATTTTATGATGATGATGTTGTCAGTTTGATTAATATTAAGATAAAAATTAAAGAGTATAAGATTTGCTGTTGATAAAAATTAAAAAGAGTAAAAGATTTACTGTTGATAAAAATTAAAAAGAGTATAAGATTAACTGTTAATATAATATAAAAAGAGTATAAGATTTACTGTTGAGGCTACCCAGTTTGATACTGACCAAAAAAATATAATAAATTATAAAAATTAAAAAAGTATAAGATTTACTGTTGATAGAAATTAAAAAGAGTATAAGAAATACTGTTGAGACTATAAAGCATATAGAAACACATAAGAGGAGGGGGCAAAAAGGGAACGTGGCGATTTGAGATACTTATAACATTTTAAAAGAGGAACCATTCATCATTAATTAAATTTTTTTTACTTAAAATCCAATGAGAGCCTAGGATTCAATTGGTAGAAATAACTATTGGGATAAAGTGAAAAACTTAAAAGTGGTGGTACTTACTAATTTACCTTAACAAAGCTTATCATTATTTCAAATATGATTTTAAAACAATATTTATCATTAAAAATCCCTACAAAAAAATAATAAATATATCAATCGTAAATTAATGAAATCCTTCCAAAAAAATACAGAGAAAAAAATATATAACCAATGGTAATTATCACTAAAACTATAATCTTAGAGAAAACTTTACAAAAATAATAATAAACAAATATTACCTTTCGGAACTCTTTGCAAGTGTCTGAAACCTCTAACTATAAACCTCTCCATTCCCTTGTGTGATATGGTTTAAAAAATGGTCCAATATTTTCCAGGTATTCCATGAATACTTTATAGCCTGAGATCTCCTTTTCAATATATTATACTTTCCGCCGGACCATTCAGTTTCAGTTTTTTGGGACAAGATATTATTATTATTACTTCGATTGATTTGTAAAAAATCAATATTAACAGATATGTTTTGCTGATTTTATTAAAATAAAATAGGAAGTCAGCATTCAATTTTAATAAGTTACAACAAAGTAAAAGAGACGTTTCATAATATATTTATTTCAGACATTCACAACGACTAAATTCAACCTAAATTTATTCAACATGGCTACCTTGACATTCCTCTACTACTATTAAAATTTAGCCGCCAACTGTAAAACCCCAAAATTGATTTAATAGCCACACAGTTTCAACGACCTTTTTCAACTAGTACTTTACTCGAGTCATCTGGCTACCCGAACATACATTACTTTACGACTATAAAATTTAGCCGTCAGTTATAAAATACCAAGAATTTATTTTATAGCCACACACTTATAAAGATATTTTTGATCAACAAGTGGGGGATCACATGTTAACTTCGTTGCTGATTATAACGTAATGAGAAAGTATAAATATTTATTGCCGTCATATATCTTTGAGAGCTAAAGGTTAAAAAAGTTGAATGATAAACTTTGACGTATTGTCGCAATTTATTTCTCTCATACGAGCTGCCCTCAGGACAAATCTTAGAAACTTTCATATATCTGTGGAATTTAGTTTATGCACAGAATAGGCTCAATGTACAAATCAACGTGAAAGCCACTCATCAATCGTGATCAAATTGATCTCAAATACTTTAATTAACCAATTTTTCATATTTATCGACTCATATTATTTCATTATATCATCTGGCTTTAAGTTATTCATAAATAATAAAATAATTATTTTTGAAATTTCGTATATATTCAAATTACATATGTTATTAGAAATAACTCTAGATTTAATATTTGCTTAAAACATAATATTTCAAATCTCACGTATGTAATAACCCAATTCAAAGAAATATATATTGTTGACTAACAGCAGCAAAATTCAGAAATCCCAATAAATTTAGCCTACCCTTCTTAGGTCTATTCCAAACTCAATGTTTTTTCAAAGTGGTTTTTGAGGCATGTTTTTTTTTTATTTCCAAACAAAGGATAATAATTTATGAATTATTTTATTTTATATAAAATATAATATTTTAAAAAAAAACTATCCGGACAAGGACTGTCATTTAATCGTTTATAAAATTAAAAAAATTACTGGAAACGTACCTCAAAAACCGCTTTGAAAAAACGTTATTTGGAAATGTTTACCTCCTACTCCCTTCGAAAAATTTGGTAACAAAATGCTCCTAACCAACCCCCCCCCCCCCAAACCTCCCCGCTCATATATATGCTGTATCAAATATCAAGATATTTTATCGATGGACCTCATTGATTTGACAAATGAATTAACGTCATTAACGTTAAAGACCACATAACTAAGTATTAGTGCTATGGTGTGACCATATCGATAGTTAAGGTATTTTAGGGCCTCATCGATTTGACAAAAACGTCATTAGCCTACCCCATAACCAAGTATTAGAGTTATGGTGGACCTATGTGTATCTATAGTTAAGTATTTCTTAGATACCAGATCAATCGAAAACTACAAATAAGCATACTTACACCACGGATTCCGCCTTCAATCTCTTAGCAATTAGATGGACAAATGTTTCGATAGAATGCTAATGAAATACATTTATTAACTTACTTTCAATATGCTGAAAATAAATCCTTACCAAAATTTATGATGCCCATATAAATTTAATATCAAAAAATAATAAAATAATGGTTGAAGTTAAATCTAAAAGTTTCAACTATATAAGCATAATGATGACATTTTAATTTAAAAAACGCAATTTTTTATTTCAGACAAAGGTGACTACATAAAAATTCAAAAATATTTATTAATTGATATAAATTGGTAATTTAGGAATAAATAAATAATCATATTAAGATTCTAAAAACCTTAAGAATGTATATTTCCTGAAGGGTGAAAATTTTCGAATCAAAGCAAATTAAGATACCTCGTTCGCAACTGAGCTTGAAACCGTTAAAATAAATATTTTATGTTTTAAAACTAGGTTAAATATTATTAAACATAAAAAAAATGCAATAGAGTATATGTGTTATAAAGTTATATATTTATTCAAAATTTTGTTTTAAATAATATTTTATATCAAAAATTTTTTTTAATCTAAAATAAATTATTTTGATAAATAAGCCAACCCAGTTGTTTATAATATAAATTTTATGCCCA